GCGTTTCGCACCCTTAAAGTTGGAAAATCATCGTTTGAGAGAGCAATCGAAATAAATCTTGCAAGCGAAGTAATGCAGTGCTTAAACTAAACTTTATGTATGTTTATTATTAACGTAGCTACAAACGTTGCCTAAAAAAGTTCTAGTGTCGTTGTGAATCATTCTGAACTGAATTTGTCTAGGGTTAATTACACTGTCCATATTCAAACTAGCAGCAAAATCAGCCCTATAGATTACTTTTAGTTTCAATTTAGCGAGGGTTCATGCAGGTTTATTGATAGACCAAACAACGCAGCTTACAGGTGTACCGTGCACGTAATACAGGAAGATATTGACAACATTAAACAAGTTAAACAACCGACATAAGAATCAGCGAAACCCTGGCATAAGAATCTCTGGACAACAAGCTAGAGTTGGGGGGGGGGCATGAGTTTGTAATAATTCTCACCCATTCGTGTATAAGTTTTGACTGCTCCCATCAATAAATCGTCTACTTTTTACAATTTGCAGCTACTAATAATATACAAACTGATCGTATTATTGGATGGCTCCTCAAATAATGAAGAATAAGCCAAGATGGTTGGCATTGCAAACCGTGACAAGTTTTCAAACAAGCTCTTACAAGTTTTTGTAAGCATATATACTAGCTGTGAAGTACATGGCTTGTTGCAATGCAGTTGCTACGAAAGTCTGGTACATGCACGTATATACATGCAAGTTGTCCTTGTTATACAGGTTGCTAATTTAGATTATAGATTGTATATTTTATAGCGTAAATTCTTCTAACAGCACAACTAAGGGCAGATACCAAGTAATTTATATTAACTATTTTACGACATGAGAATTCATATATTTTATCATGTGAGCAATATAAAGACCTCATTGCAGTATCTGCTTGTCGAGTTTTCTTGTGCAAGACATGAACGTTCATTGGGCATATTCACCACTTTGTTTCTCAACTTTTAGCCATAGTTATGCAGAGCTATTAATTTGATGGAAAATGTTTTCGAAGATGCTGACATGCTGTCTACTGGTTATTTCTGTTATATAGATATACTGGTGGTATATACTGTTGTTACATACCAAAGGACGAAAGTTCTTTTTTTTATATAATCGTTTTATCTAGCTCTTGTAAGCATTGAATTAGAATTGGTGTAGCTCAAACAATATAAATCAAAAACTATGATGCTATATTGTCGCTAAATTGAGTAGAGTTTTAGGATTTAAAGAGTTTTAAGATTTAAGGTGTGAATCAAAATATCCATCTGCTTTAAATTCCATCACCAATGCGTGTGATACCATTATGTGCATGATCGTACGTATACATCGACAGTTTCTTCAATTAAATCCCATGCATACAATTGGCAAAATTAATTTAATTTACTTGCATGCATTAATCAAGCCTTTAGTTATTTCATTTCCCCAAATTAGTGCGTTTCCGCGTCGCAGCTAGCTACAGTTGTCTTGCGCCGTAGTCGATAATGTATTTTGAACTTTCCATCGTTTTCGTCCCAGGAGCAATGACCTTAGATTAAAACAACGCGTTTAAACATGTTTAGTTAATAAACATGCCCTAGCGGATAAAACGAGGGGAATCTCCGTGTAAAAACTATATAAATTAAACTCAGTTATATATAAATTTGTACGCGCAAATGTACACAGCCTAAGAGAAGAATAACTAGTATTTTTTCAATGGTAGGGTTAATTTTACCATCACGAGTACATGCAGAGACTCCGCGATTTCTCACTGCCTCTGTTGGAGAGGTGAATTTACATCTTAGCAGACAAGTTGAAAAATCTCATGGTTATAAAACTAATTCTAAACACCGCGAGGTTTTTCCTGTCTAAGGGGGAATCCGGCTGTGATCGCTCGATATATTATGACCAAAGCAATTGATTTGATGACCTCCCCAACTCGGAAGTGTCAGCGGTTTTCTTTTCAGCTTTCTTCCTGGTTGCAGGGAGATTTTTAAAGATTGCCACACGGGGTATTTCCAGGCTTCGAGTTTAATGCTAGTTTGGATTTGGTTCAACTTTCGCGCATTTGGTTCAACCATGCATCGCACTTTTTGACCTATCCAAGGTCTGATCCAAGGCGTGCATTGAAGACGTTTGAGGGTGTTTTCATAGCTTGGATCTCGTCCCTCTTACCTCTCTTTTCAACACTAGAAAGTCCATATTCAAAGCCGATATTTGGATCTAAACTAAAGCTAACTAACCTCGATATTCAAGTTCACCTCTAAAGCATACTTCATCTAGCAAAGACCGATAAACCAGATTCTACAGAAATGTCAAAGTTATACGGCTTTAAGCTAGCTACAGTAAACGGCCGTTATCCCAATTGGAGATCCATCTCCACATAGAAGAGTTTATCAGCTGGAGTGTCACATATACAGTATACAAACAAGAAAACGAATAAAATTTAAAAAACGTAGGCTTGCATGCACAGAAATTCATCTTCAATTCTCCCTTCATGCATGATTATCAAAAACAAAGGTGCAGGAAAGTTGAGCATTACCATGCATGCTTGAAGCATCCGGCATCAACTCTCATCAGAGCCTGTTAAAGCTTTCGACAGTCCAAAAACAAAACAAGCAGGTCACACATCACCAGAATATAGAAATTCTTTTTAAATTTACCTGATTTACCTTTACCAACTCATATCTTCACTTTGAGAATATCTTATAATAGAGGGAGAATACGACTGAACGAAATTGTCAGATTCATGCACCTTTGGGGAGAAAGAAAGAGGTAAGAAACGACGGGAAAACGAAGCTGTTTCAACTATGATGACAACAAAAGGCACACGGTATTTTAATCATATATGTTAATTCCAATTTTCTCATATATGCACACCACGAATAATTCAGTGTAAAATTTTAAAAATTCGATTCACAGAGTGGACTTTGAAAACTCAATTAAGTTCATGTATATGCAGAAGTCAAAATCTGACAAGAAATCTAAACTATTAACCTTTCAAACTTGCCACTCATTATCACAACGGAAAACCAAATAAATTAAAAATAGCATTTCTAATTAAAAACCATACGATATAGCATATACTAAAAACTCTAAGATTCAACAAAATTTTTAAAATCTAGTATGAAAAAAATTAATTTAACTTAATTTCGAATTTATTCATTCGGAAATGTCACGATTCCAAAAAAAGTTGCAAATGTTTTGGATATAAATTTTCCGACTGTTTAATAAATTTGAAAGAAATTTTAATTAAGACATTTGAGCCACGGTGACTGCCATCAATGTCAATGACAAGCAGTGATTAATTGTGCGGGCGAACCGGCTGACGACGTTGAAAAAAAGACATACAAATAATAGAGTATTTCTATAAGTCTTTATTTCATTCACGCATTATTAATGTTCTAATAATGTTGACATTGTTCTAATTGGATGTTTGACGAATTGATACAACGTTAAAAGCCGAAATTTATCCAATAAACGAGAAAACGGCAAAACAAAATAACATATAAACGCCGGATAACTTTTCAGGGACAGAAATGCAGGCGCCAGAATTAGAGCGACTATATAATGAATGAAAGGGACAATATGCTTATATATATATATGAGTGATTTTATCCCGACAATTTAGAAACAAACATAATCAATAAAGCCAGTCAATATAATAGGAAAGTGTGTCCATAACTTTCTATGTATGTACTATAGAGAAAAAATGTACATTTTAGAACCCTTTTTTTTCTTGAGTTACACAATTTTAACCACCACCCACTCCCCCCACAATATTCTTAAAGTTTTCATTCTAGATAGCGATGCGCATTTTGTGTTAAACTTTTAAAATCTTTAAGAACAGCTGATTGCCTAATTATTGAAATAGAAAAACAAGCCGAATCAATTTTCTTTTATGAAACGTTTACACTGAGCAACAAGAAAACGAAATTAGCAGCGCTTTGAAGCTTGGAGGCGATTGAGAAATAAAATACCAACCCAATGGTCAAATACCGGCCCAAAATATTGCCTGAATTGTCTACATTTCCAACCGCGGACAATTAACACCTTTGCTTTTCAAAGTTATTCAGGGAAATCAATTACAATACATTGTGCATCATATATGTGATATATTGTCTCGTCCTGATATCGATTTGCAAGGGGATACGCGCTCAAAAACTTTGTGGGGGAGGGCAACCATGCAGACGACGCTTCGTTACCCGACGAAAAGGGAGAAGGCCTGACAAAATGAAATAACATCATTGTTGCTTATTCTCACTTTTTTTATTTATGGGTCAAACCGTTTAAAAGTACAAAAGTAAACAAAGTCACGATACATTCATTGGCCACATTTAGTTGGTGGTCAGAATGGCTTGATTCAGATTAAATATAAGGGGAATGACAAAATGCATTTAATATTATACATGGATGATTCAACACAGGTAGGCTCTTAAAAGATGTGAATACAGTATGATTCCATTTACTGCCTACAAGGTTGAAAACATGCTATTGAAACGACTACCTAAGGGCATTGCCCGACTTAATCACCGCCACGGAAAATTAATGTTTGAAATAAAATTTGTAGTCATACAGTTTCAAATTAAAAGCTATTCGATCTGGTTCGGTATAAAAAAAAGTAAATTACATATGTATCAAAGATATAAAAAAAGCAAAGTCAATTATTCTAGCTGGTATATATCTCTCAGATTTCATACCTACTCATAGCTTATACACGTAGGTTTCCAAACTTTCTAAAACGTGTTAAATGCTTATTAAATGAGTGCGATTTTAACTTCCATTCGGTATTCAACGAATCGCTGAACGAATCATTCGGATCAATCGTTTAATTGTTTGTTTCTTGCTAAATATAGTATTCGCGACGGAAACTCATTTTACTTTGGTTTCAATAGGGCATTGGCAATGTTTATAAGAACAATCAAATTGTTTGCCGCCCAATATCATGGCACCTGGCAGAGCCAAACATCAAGCTCAGGCCCCCTGTGGTCCCGAAATTAAACGCTTAAATAGACATTCGTGAGAACGTTTGAGTCAGTGTATTTGATATAGCCAGGGAGGCAAGAGCAGCACGGGACTACGCAAAACAAATCACAGAGATTTGGACAAATTTTCGAATCCTGATATCTGGAGACTAACCACACCGGACAGACTATTCCAAAGATAGCTTCGATTAGAAACGCTAAGAAACGTTTGAGAAAAGGAGAACATTATACCAATATAGCCACGTTGCCTATATATACTACGGTCAAGTTCAACATGTCATTCACCGTAGATAGAATAATGGGCTCGACTCTACAGGAGCGTAAACCGGTCGTGGTGAAAAAGACTGAAATACCCGTTGAAAATCGAGTGCCGCTCCTGAGCGGAGGGGTGAAGACAGAACCACGAGGTGACAGAATCGAAAGCGACGAAGATGAAGATTTAGCCAAAGAACGGTTATTGGCCATAGAGCATTCCAGTTCACCTGGCAGAGAATCACCCACAAAATCCGAAAAATCGCCCTCAAAAGACGATAGACACGTCGAGACCTTTGTCGCAGTGATAGCTCAAGCAATTTTGAGTGCGCCCGGGAAACGCATGACTCTGAGTTCAATCTACAACTACATCGCAAGCAACTATTCTCATTTCAACCGCGAGAAAGGTCCAGGATGGCGAAACAGCGTACGGCATAACCTCTCCAGTAATGATTGCTTCGTGAAAGCGGTACGGGCCGAGAACGGAAAGGGACATTACTGGATGGTCCACCCAAAAGATCTTTCCGAATTCTCGAAAGGTAACTTTCGTCGACGTAGAAAGCCACGACGACCAAGATGTCACCACGCAGTCATGTTCAACGGCAGCAGCGAGAACACGTACTTTTATCACGCCCTGTCCGCCGCCAGTATCCCCCTCTCAATACAAACAAATCAGGATCGCACATTGAACACTTCACCAGTAACGTTCAGTTTTGTCGATAACGGGAAGCTTCCTTTGGTTGGCCATTACGACAGACCGCAGTATTTAGATATGAGTAGAGCTGGATTGACGGTACCTTCCTCACTGCTTTGGCCAAGTGAAATCACCGCGCGGACGTTTCCAAAATTTGCAAGCAGTGCGGGATCGCTGAACTTTCACCAATTCTGTGCGTGTCATTCACCTGGGCTTCAATGTTACTACCACAAATGTTGATCACCGAATCAGCAATGAACTGAGTTGGTATGCATGTAAATAAAACCTCAATGTAAATATAAATGAACTATAGTGAACTCTGAACTGCATGTATCTTTGAAATCATCGTGAAATGGCTGCTCTATACGTTTCCGGACGTTCGTTGCGAGAAATTAGCGAATAACAAGTTGTCTGGGTCCATGCTAAACATGCAAATACGAACTTTTGGTGTGAACCGTGTGATAGTCTTATAGGAGACAACGTTAATCGGTTTTGCGTTAAATTTGCCGGTCAAATTTGATACAAAATCCAATAAATGAAACATTAGCATTTCATTTTAGAACAGGTTTGATGGTGAGTGCAACCTAAATATACCGAGGAAGACAAACTGAAGAGTGAATTACAACGTCCTGTACGTTGGCCCCATTTGTCGTCACAAAGAACAACAATTTAAGTTTATAATAACAACAAAATTACAAACGCGTAAATGCATGAACTTAGCTAGCTTTCCTGATATTCAATGTAACATATTAGACCTACCCAATATTCAAGCGATTTATTCGGCAAAGCGATAAAGAACTCGAATCATCACATCACTGCGGCACGTAATTATTTATTTTCCTAATTATTATACATTTCATTTCATTTACGTTGAAAAAGTATTGCCATATAGATTCTAAAACTCGAGACAAGCGAAGGGTTATTTCATATGAAGATTTTAAACGCAGCGCCGATGATTTCATTGTGATGAGAAAACTAAACAGTTTTGTGAGACCTATATATATAGCAACCTGATTTCTGAGTATTTTTCACCGCATGAATAATTACTCTACCATGAAAAGTTCAAAAATTTAAATACAAAATACTGAAAGAAGGCAAAGCTATCGCGGACACCGAATAAACAACATCGTTTTGGATTTTCACCAAATAACCGTAAAGTAATAATAAAACCGCCGTTTTAGTGGATGTTTTGGCGTTTAAAGTTTAAAGTTTTAAAATATGTGTAAATAGTCAATAGGACTAAGTAAAATGATGATCTATTTAATACTTGTAATAAATATAATTCTTATAATATTAATAAATTTATGAAGAATTTAAATGGCTAGTTTGATGTTTTCTACGTTTATCTACCATGGCCATGTATGTATACATACGAAGCCTTATTACTATAATCATAATATCACTTATCGCACTGAAATTTTACATAGAAATACTTGAGTCTTGACTTTGCCTCGTCACTGCATCCTTTTATTAATTGAGCATATATAAGTAGGTATTCTTAAGTTTGTTGTCGGTATAATTTGTTTGCGTGATCTGATACATATAGTGTGAATATAACTAGTACTTCTTATTCAAATCAAAGTCATATACAAAGTATATACTTTTTTGGTGCAGGGATATGCGGGCTATACAGATCGATCCTATCATTTCGTCTCTAAATATATTAAATATATTAAATACCCTCATATACCTAGAGTGATATGTTTCAGTTCTCAGAAACGGTATCACATAGCAGGCAAATTAAGCGATCACTACGCTAGTCGCTAAAAAATTTTGCCCTGTCATTGTGGGTTGAAATGAAATACCACGGCCGTATACATGCATGATGAAGCAACATTCCAGACATATATAAAGAGAAACACAGTTCAGTGTGTTTATGAATAATTTCTCAAATATAATCTCACACTGAATAGTCATGCATACAAGTCCCTCTCAGAAATCATTCTTATAGCGTAGCAAATTATGATTTTGTTACATTTATAATTAGGGTTCTAATCACCGAATATATTATAATTACTGGTTGTAATCATGTAAAATAACCTTCTAGTATGATAGCATTCTTGTATATTCTAAAGGTCAATGTGTAGCACTTGAAGTTAGCCACGTGTAAATACAAAGGCAATTTGTAAATATAAAAATAGCTAAAAATCCATCCACAACAATTATATACACATGTCGTGTGAAAAGACACAACTCTGCATGACATTACTTCATGGTTACCTCCGCCGAGTCAATGTGTTTATACCTCATTTACGTATGGTATTTTAATATATTTAAAAGGGAACAGAATATATGATCGCATTAAGTTAATTGTTTATAATCATCGTCGAGTTGCTGAGCGTTTTGAAAGCCATCAAAAAGGCGCCGTAAAATGCAACGCTTGTAAAGTGTCAAAGTGTTGTTGTTGTTGTTAATCTGTTAAAACAAGCAATCAGGCGTAAGACGCATTAAATGCTAGATTTTGTTTGTTTAATCAGTTCAACACTTCATCGGAATTAAATGATCAAAATGATTTCACTACAAACTACCAGGCCGAATGGAGCCGCTTCCGTTTCTTAAAAATGATCTCATCATGTATAATGGCCTTTTCCAGGAAATTGCTATGAAAACCGGCAGTATTTTGTGAATTTTCGTGTTCCTATCGATTGGGAAATCTAAACCGCTGCAACGAATTACCTTTATAAACAAAACAGTCAGTCAAGTTTAAACTCTATATGCAAATTTTCCTATATACCCACTTATATTTCTAACATGGAGTTCCACGCAAAGACCAACGACCAACATCACCAATTAACAGTATTGCATTACACTTATAAAAGCCGTTTAGCTTAAAGGCACAGTCTTCCTTAGTTTACATGAAACAAATTGTGTTCAGTATTAATAATAAATTGTGTTAGTTTAAGCACAGCTGATGTTGTATAACGCGATTAACTTGTATCGTTCACAACGGCGCCATTGCAATTACATTTTGTCCTGAGATTTAATTTTTGGTTAATGTGTTTATTGAGCTATCGGAAATCACTCATTAATATTTGCTGAGTGCTCATACAGCCTTTTTAGAGGGCGAAACCGCACCAAACACTAAAAATATGGCTCTGTGGTATGCTGCGTCCTCTGTAGTAAGTTGAAACTCAACTCCTATATTGTCATTCTCTTCTATATTGTGATCAATTTGACCGTCGATGCCTAAATACATACATGCAAAGAACAACCCTTTAAACTACAATATGGACAAACGTTAACATGCAGTTGTTATATAAAATACATTTGTTTGATTAAAACACAAGTTATATGAAAATGTTTTATCGCTGTACCCTGTATAGCTATATAGGTTTCATACAATGCCTTATGAATATCATGATATTATATATATATACAGCTCGTAAAATACTCTCGAAACGAATACTCTAGAAATACTCACGTAAAATAACATGTTATTTCTACTTCTTAAATTATTTATGCTCTTTGATCTTTTACATCACGACGTGTGAAAAAAAAACACTGCGAGACTGTTGAAACCATGAATCCTCGCCTAATATGATTCAAGAAAGGTGCATGCATGCATGTAGACTAGTGTTTCACTAAAAACGTAGAACAAGACATCGATTCTCCATGCAACGATTTTAGAATTTGTGCGAAGATTAAAATGTCTAACCGACATTATGAAGTGCATAATCACATTCGAGTCTTGTAACACTGGCAAAAAATCTAAAACTGCGGCAGCATGCATGTGTAATGACATTCATGTGGCCTGTCAATCTTAGTATTACAATATATAGCCAGAGCTGCTGGGTACAAATCAGTAGCATGATTTTTACACATGATGGCAAAAATTCGGCTGATGGCAAAAAGTCGGGGAAATATTGTAAAACAAAATAATAATCGCCAAAGGCAAGTAACATGCATGTATATAGTTACAGCCTAAATATATACAGAAGTTTGGTGTAAAAATAGATTTACTTGCATGACGAATAGTATCTTTTGAATTTTCTGGTATATAACTGACATGAAACCGTTGACAAAATCTTTAATCCATTTTTTAAACTGCTGCACTTTAAATGTTCGTATTGGATTAACCGGACACGGGTTAGCGAGTATTAAAAAGCGCAATAAAGGACATTAAGGATTAGTTTCTGTCTGTTATTTGCAAAGCGTTTCGTGAGGTAAGTTAAGTAAACATGAGCAAAATTGATATTTTCTTGCCTTTGTGTTTAATCAGACAGGCAATTAATGAATTACGGTGCCGGAGCAATAGGCATATATTGCGGTGATATGTTACAGAGAAAAACATGAAATTAAAAACTGGACGCATGCATGCGCTGAATTTATAGTCAGAAAGATCCGCATGCAGTGCAACGCGAAAATTCAAATAGTCTTCTTACACGCGCGATAAAGATGATTTAAAGCATAAGCATTTTGCTCTATATATTCGATCGTTCGTTAAATTTGGAAGTTGTTTGTTCATGACGGTTAAATCGTTATATCAATTTTCCTCAATTTATATAAGAATTCACTTGAAAATATGTATGCTCACAAACAAGTTATTTTTAACAAATTGTTGTGCTACAATTGTCAGACATATATCCGGGTTAGGCTTGTACCCGACAGAACTAAATACATTCCTTGGTATTATTGCTATTATTAGTGACAACCCGGTAACGTGACTCGAACTATAACCTCGGTAGATAACAAAACTTGGGGATATTGAGGTGATATCCGTTAAACCGCGGGCTAATAGTAATTAAAAAACCGATGGGGCAATGAAACCGGAGTCCTTTTCCTAACAGGGCATCATATAAATGTCTATTTCAAATCATCGATAAAAATGTCAATTGGCAGTGATATTTTTTATCCTTCTCTATGGGCATGTCCATGCATCAGTCCTGTAAATTTAAAGCAGTAGTGCTTGTATATTGCACTCCACATTCCATTTTTTGACCTGTGGGCGACAATACATGATAGCATTCTCGTCCAGTAACAATAGTTCAGGTTTATTCATAGCTCGTTTTGAGTGTTTGCCTAACGCCATACGCGATCATGATATTTTATCGATGTCCCAATACACAGGTGTTTTAGCCACTTATCTTTACAAATTGACTGTAATTGATTATCACTATTGACGTTTGGATTCCTTTGAAGTATACCCGGCTAACGGCTAAAGTATAGTCTCAAGGTCTTAACTCTAAAGAGAGCTACAAAACATAGAGAAATTGTTTTGAGGAATTTAGATTGAGTTTTCTGCTACCGCCGTTACCTGGGTTTACGTACGCATGCATATGTGAACGAAATTTTCGTTCCTAAAATTAGCGCTCGACCCTCGAGCATTGGCCGACTTGCCTGAGCACATTCTTAACGATATTCGCTTTACCTTCTATGTTTATGTTTAAAAACGGTAATAATTATACAGAGGATTACTATATTTATGCTTAGCGTACGTCGGATACGCGAGATAATATCTCAATATACTTTTTCTTTGGAAAAACAAGCTCAACTTCGCAAAAATCATTTTAATATAACGTTACCTAATATCATTCAAATTTGCAATTTTTTGTGTGCAAGCAAAATTTGCATTTAATTTCGCAAGATTGATCAATAACAAGTGCAAACAGTAAGATAAATACAGGCACAGATTTTTCCTGTGCGGGGTAAACCAATTGACATATGTATCCATTGAACAACAAAACAATTACAAGAGAAGGTAACGTATGCAAATGAATACTTTATTGGTCTTCAGAGTTTCTGGTTGAGAAAGTTTTATAAGATAGATTCATTGTAAGCTAGATATGCTATACTCGCACTGCATGCATGCATGGCAAATGATATAGACATTAGACAATGCCTTGAGTTGAGGCCGGAATATTTCTTGTTAATATTTTGCAGCTGCGCTGTATATATGTAGCAGTTTCTGATCACTTAAAAAGACGATTTAAAAAAAATTTCCACGATACGGGATTCACATCATCACGAGATGATTTTCGACTGCGGAAAGCTTAGTTCCGACTTAATTAAAATTATTATAATAACACGCATATACAATTAAACAAAACTGTGCTCGTAAAGGAAAGCTGTGAAAGGCGACATGATTTTGAATGCTTAAACTCGATGTCACCAATTCTATATCGTATAACTGAAGTCCTAGACCTAGGAGCAGAAACAAACCCTCACAAAACTATGCAGATTTTCCATGGTATATGATACAGGTGCATGGGCAACCGCCAGCATGCACGGGTAAGTACAGTGTAGGTGTCTGGATGGTTATATTAG